TATTATCTTACAAACAACAAAAACAAGATTTCATTGGGTGGTTTAATTCATCCAATTGGTGATTTGCGCATCTTACGGCGTTGGTTGGAGTCAGTTTGATGAAATCAGCCGATGGTGAATTATTAGTTAATTAAACCAAATTCGTCTGTCAAAAAAGTAACAGAATGATGTTTGAAGAATATAAAGATAACATTTCACCAAAAATTAAAGCAGTAGCAGAAACTCGTTTTTTATCTATTTTTGACAACATTGATCAGATATGTCGTCAAATTATCGACATAACAAACTTCACTAATATACATATTACTGAATTGAGGTCTTTTTTATAAGATAACTGTAAAATTTTAAGTACGAATTTTATTAAAGAATTATTTCGTAATTCAAAACATTTTATAAGTCTTTTGTATGTCTATCGAGATGTATTATCTCTTTTAAAAGATTTGTGTGACAGCCTTCAAGAAGTTAATTGTGTTTTACCTGTTTATTGGAATAGAATAAACAACTTTAGATTATTATTAAGAGTATTAATCAGGCGTATTGATGACAACGACGAAAATAAGTTGGTGGCATTTGATTATACGAAAAGGGACTTAAATATAGACATCGATTTAATAAGGAAGTTTTGGTTATGACTGCATTGTATTTTGATGTTCGTTTTTTTTAAAATTGGAAGTTCTGGAGATATAGATGGGGTTGAAAAATATTTTGACATTGTCAATTGTAATTTACTTCCTGGATTGGAAACAAGACTAAACATCGAGAATCATTTGGACGACCTACTTTATATTTTTAACATTCCTGATGAATTAATAAAAATGGTAAGTTTGATACAGACTCTTTCCCGGTGTATTTCCAATGTCTATATTCAGAAGTGAATGCTCTCATGTTGTTTATAAACTCATTAAATAAAACAGATATAGATAATATAGTTGAAAGTTCTGGTAATATTTTACCTCGAAGCCAATACGATGTGAATCTTGAGAAGTACGTTGGTAGTAAAATGAAGATAAATTTAGTCGATATTTATGAAATACTTGAAGTTGGTCACTACCACAACTTATTGCAAGTCGCTTAAATATCATTAACAGTGTCTCCAACAACAATATTTGTTGAAAGATATTTTGGTTTTATTAATAAATATCAAAAAGAATCTATGCCAACAAAGAACGCGATTGAGAGAGTAAATTTTTCATCCAAAAGTCAAAGTGTTTATTTTTTAGATTAGATATGATTTGTATTGAATTTATATTAACTACACCATTATTTATAGTGTTAAATCAACCAAATGAGTATGTTTTGCACATACAATTACATAGTACAAAACCGATTATAAAATTGATGTTATAACATAAGCAATTAAATACATGAAGTATATAATAACATGATATAATATTATTATTATATAATATTATTATAATTAATTGTTAAAAGAACATAAACTCGATAGTGTTGATGTTGCTAAAAGAGTGGTTGAAAGTAAATAACAGAAAAAGTGATACACTCAAACAAAGCAAATGACACAATAAAAATGACTAAAAGTGATTGACTTTATAATTCAAGTTAATTAATAACTACTTATAAGAAGAAGAACGAAAAATTATTGGAAGTAACATACAATATGATCAATGTTTGAATAATGAAGTTGTCGTGGAATA